TGGTAGAGCTTGAACGTAAAGTTAAAGGGTTCTCCAAGCTCTGTGTGGTGGTTCGTTTTAAAGAAGGGAACTGAGTCTAGATACCCAGAAACAGCATCTCTCCTTGGATTTAAAGCTCTTACTGGTTGCTGATGGGTTCGGGGAGGTGATTTGTACAAAATCCTGGGTCACAGCCCGGAGCGGGGATGCTCATGTTTGACAACGCTGTTGTCCCAGTGTCCCTAGTTGGTGTTTCTACTAGGAGCTATTGCTGGGCTCCTTGTTGAGCAAGGGCAGGGGAGATGGAGAAAGGTCCTCTCCTCCGCTGCTAAGGTCAGCAGCCAGTGGTTTTCACACACACTTTTTATGGAAAAAATAGTTATAAAACTTTTTTTTTTTTTCTTGTAAGGAAGAAATTACCAAAACACGAGTAAGCCAAGAGTTTTCTGTCATATGGTTTATGTAACTGTTTAACTTTTATTTTGGAAACAGAAGTTTCTTTTTTTAAGTTTGCTTACTGAGAAAATGAGCAAAATTCAGGATGTTCCATTAAAAAAAGAAAATAGTTGTCCAGGGTTTTCCAGCAGTTTTTCTAAGTAATAGCAGTTTTTTGCCCTTGATATTTTTTAGGCACAGGACTGAGCCATACAGCATTAATTTTTAATTTTTTTGTGTGTGCCTGAATCTGCCTCACTTGACCAGGCCAATAGTTTGGGTCTCTGCAGCAAGAAATGGCTCTGCCCTTCTGAGATCTTTTTCATCAGCATCTTGTCCAGGGCTTCTCACAGCAGATTTCCCCAGTGTGCCTGGGGGCCAGCACCAGTAAGGAGGGGAGATGGAGACTTGGCAGCACTGGGCAAGGAGACAGAGGGGAGGCTGGACATCCTTTGTGGATTGTGCAAGATATTTTGCTTTACTGTTACTATTTTCTATGTGGCTCCAGTAAGTTAAAAGTTTGAGTCTTCCACATTTTGGTCTCTCTCTGACTTCTTTGCAATATACAATATTGATAACAAATAATAGCAAAACCACTACCAATAATAATAAACCCTCCCATATACAGGACAGGGTTTGAGCATGCCCTTCAGATGTATACTCATATCTCACTGCCTGGTCTTCAGGATCAGCAGATTGTGCTAACAGCTTTTTCTCTCTCTCATGATACTGATGTTGGCATCATAACTAAGAAAAGTAGTTTTTCCTTCTGTTCAAAAGTGATTTTTCTTGCAAGTCAGGTAATTGAAGGAGGGAAAAAAAGTGTCTTATCTCTGCTCTATAAGATGGTGTTCCAAATACATGTTTCAGGAGATGTATTCTTTTGGGTTTTGTTGCTCAGCCTCTCTTTTAAATCAAGAGGCTGTACGTGCGTGCAGACCTGAGCGTGCACACCTCCTCGAGCTGAGGAGCTTGGCTTTTTTCTGCTTCGATGTGTGGGGTTATGTTATCACACTTTCAACATCACAGATGTTTCTCCTGCTGGGGTTATTAGAGAAATTGCATCTCATGTCTGCATGTTGAGAAGTACACATTTAATACCCCAGCTTGATGGTGGCGGTGCATTATGCAAAGCCAGAATGACACTCTTGCCTCCAACAGTTACTATAGTTTTCTCTGGGATAACTATTGCCCCAAAGGTTGTTTTCCCAAAAGTGTCATCTAACTGGGCATCAAGGCATCTCAGCAGCTTGTTTTGCTCTGTTGCCCGCAGCGAGCTGATTTATGCTGTTGTAAGCCATTATTATTATAAACCCCACGTCTTCCTTCTCTTTTCAAGTTGGGGAGAAAATTGTCTTTCCCCTGCCTTTGTGGCACAGGGTATGTGAAAACAGTGTTTAATTCCACGTGCTGTTCAAGTTGCAGGGAGGGGGAGATGGGGTAAGAAGATGGAGAAAGACTCCATGAGGGTTAGCACGTGGGAAGATGACATTGAGCTCAGAATATCACCCAGGCTGGAAACAGGAGTGGCATCACCGAGTTCCCACGCTGTCAGCCGTTGGCACGGGACCCTGCTGAGCTGCAGCTCTGGTACCAGCAGGATTTTTTTTATGATTTCTTTTCAGGTACGACTTTGCAGTGACTGGAAACGGCTTAGCAAGTCAAGTGAATAACCCGGAGGTAGAAGTCGATATTACCAAGCCAGACATGGTGATTCGCCGGCAAATCATGGCTCTGCGGGTGATGACCAACAAGCTGAAGAATGCATACAGTGGGAATGACGTCGACTTCATTGACATAAGTATGTTTGCTGTTGTTTGCCTTTTGCTTTTTCTTTTTCCCTTTTTAATTGGATTTCATGCTAACCCAGGGTAGCTGGTTAAGCTTCAGCTGTGGGTTAAGCGTGTTAGTAAAGAGGGTGGGATCTGGCATCTCCAACAGGCTGTGTGAGGAGGGTTGTTCCCATAGAATCATAGAATGGTCTGGGTTAGAAAGGACCTTTAAAGGTCATCTAGTCCAACCCCTCTGCAGTGAGCAGGGACATGTTCAACTAGATCAGGTTGCTCAGAGCCCTGTCCAATCTGACCTTGAGTGTTTCCACGGGTGGGGCATCTACCACCTCTCTGGGCAACCTGGGCCAGTGTTTCACCACCCTCACTGTAAAAAAATTCTTCCTTATATCTAGTTTGAATCTTTTACTTTAAAATCATCACCCCTTGTCCTGTCACAACAGGCCCTGCTAAAAAGTCTGTCCCCATCTTTCTTATAAGTACTGAAAGGCCACAATAAGGTGTCCCCGAAGCCTTCTCTTCCTCAGGCTGAACAACCTCAACTCTCTCAGCCTGTCCTCAAAGGAGAGCTGTTCCATACCTCTGATCATTTTGTGGCCTCCTCTGTACCCGCTCCAAGAGGTCCATGTCTTTTCTGTGCTGAGGACCCCAGAGCTGGATGCAGTAGCCCAGATGGGGTCTCACAAGAGTGGAGCAGAGGGGCAGAATACCTTCCCTCAACCTGCTGCCCATGCTGCTGGTGGTGCGGCCCAGGATGCGGTTGGCTTCCTGGGCTGCAACTACACATCACCAACTCGCCTCCAGCTTCTCATCCACCGGCACAGATGGGTGTGATGGACAGCAGGCAGAAGTTGCATTAACCAGGGGACTTGTGCTTACACCTCATAAACGCTGAAACATCCACGCGTTTGCTTTTTTCCCCACCCGCTGCTTTCTGCGAGCGAAGCCTCACGCTGCAGACAGCAGAGGAGGACAGCACGTGTGTTTGTCTCCCACAGGTGAGGAGAGCAGCGGGGAGGAGAGCGGCAGCGGCTGCGAGCTCCAGCAATGCACCTCGGAGTTTGAGTTCAATGCCACCGAAGTCACTGGGAATTCCAACAAGAGCGATAAGACTGTGAACACTTCTGCCGCTACCCGGAGCGGTTTATCACAAGCAGCCTTGCTCCTTAGCATTTTCTTCCTGGCCATGCAAAGACAATGGAGATAATTGTGCAGCGTAGCGGGAGGGGGGAAAAAAAAAAAAGACTTTTATTATCAAAGTTAGAAGGCACCTGCTTTCACTTTTATACCATCTAGGGACTTTGCTTTTTAAGTTAATGGACAACAGTGTACAGTTTTTACTATGTTGCCACTGGTTTTAAGATAATGATTTTTATGTTTTTTTTTTCCCTTGCTATTCTGGGAATAACAGGAATGGGGGCTACCAGTCTGTCCCGTTCACCAAGAGTCCATGTTAGAGGTGGATAACAAAAATGTATATACAAGCCTGTAGTTAGCTCTGCATTTGTGTCTTTATCACTTTTTTTTTTTTAAATTTTATTTTATTTTACTGTATTTCTTACAAAAAACAAACAAAAAAACCCCAGGGTCTTCTCTTGGCCTGTAACAAGTATGTGTTTCTGAAATGAGAAATATCTGTACAGAAGCAGGTTTTATTTATCATGTTATCTTACGGGGAAAAAAGTAATTGCCCAACAAGCAGAAAACATGTTTCATGTAGTTAACTTCCCATTTATCCACATTATGTTAGTTGCCTTATCTGGAAAGAAGTGGAAGTAATTTGTCTTTATTATGTGGTAAAGCAGAAGGTGAAGGCAGAGCTGGTCAGTGCGCCAAGCACCCCGTTTGTGTAGGGCGTTAATGGCAGCAGCAGGTTGTACTTTCTTTACAGGAGGTTTGGTTAAATTGGAAGAGACTACAAAGAATTCCAGTTCCACAGATGCTAAGAAGAGTTGTCGTTTGTTCCCCGGGATCCTTGCAATTAGCTGTAACTCCCCTAGGTCAGTCCCCAACGTGCATCCCCCGGGGGATTAAGGCATTAAACTTGCTCGGTTGGAAGCAACTTGTGTCCCAGATCCAAATGCCAACGTGTGTCTTGTGTGCAGATTTGTTAGATGAATGCTGGATAAAATTTTCTTCTGGATTTTTTTTTTTTTTTAAGGGAATACTTTGTGGGAGGGGAGGTGTCAGGTTTTGTTTTTTGCAAGAGTTTTGTTTCCTCTCAGATGGGGCAAAAGGGATGGAGCAGGCGGGCAGTGCCCGGCAGCGCTGTTGCAGGCAGATGGGAGTAGGAGCAGGCAGGCGCTGGCAGGGCTGGAGATGCCTCCTTCTCCTTTTCCATGTATTTGGTCTCCAAGAAGCTGGTGCCCAGCAGTTGTAGCTTTTTGGCACTGCCCAAGACACCCTCCTCTCTCTGCCTGTGCTTTTGCAGTTGGAACAATGTTGTGGTGAACGGCAACTCATGAATAAAATAAATGTATATTTTTAAGAAAAGAGATGAAATAATTTTTAAAATTGTTTAGGGAAAACAAAGTCTTTGGAAAGACTCAAAATTATTCTGCACATCTCCTCCTGCTTTAGGTAGCCTTTAGGTCTGGCCAGACACTGGTATCTGGCCAGGAGAGCAATCCAGAGAGAGAGGGTTTGCTATATTCCACCCTTGTGTTGTAAGGATAATTTTCTATTTTTATATTGAAGCATTAATTACTTGTTAGCTCAGGGTCAGCGTTATATTCAACTTTATTTTCACACCAAATTTCTGCAAAGCTATAAAGATGGAGTATTCTTGGCTGGTATAAACAATCCTGGAGGCTTAATTTTCCTAGAGTAGCCAGTTATTTATTAAAACATGATGTTAGTAGAGTAGGCATATTCTGGCTAGATTATTTTTCTTTAGAAAATAAATCATGGAAGCATAAAATTGAAAAAGTTATAAATTTATGTGTGGGAAAAAATGGATTGTAAATAGCTAAGTTGCCTTGCGAGGAATTGGAAAATGTGCTGATACTTAGAAACTACCTCAGTTCTGAGGAATTTCCTTTCTAGCTTTGAGTGCTATTACATTTACTTGGTAGAAGTGAATCTGGTCTCCAATATGTAGCTGAAAGAGTTATCCCTATAGACCTTGTTAGATTGTTTTTAATTTAGAGGGTTGAACTACATCCAGCTGTTTTCTTTCAGCTAAGTTCCCTAACAAAGAGAATTTCTGAATTAAATATTGCTGATGGTTTCCATGACTTTTCCTGATTTGTTTGGTTTCATGGCATTTTCTGATTGCCCTTTAATTATTTAAATCGTTCTACCCATTTGAATTTTAATCCTGAAATAAACAAACCTTAGATGCACTACCATTGTAAATATATCGCAGTAAGGTCTGACTGGATAACCCTTCTGGCTTATACCCAGCTGGCAGGCCGGCAAAGTTAAATGAAGAAGGAAAAAAAAAATAAAATTAAACTTCTTCAGAGCTCAGAGAACAGTGAAACAAAAGCCCTTGTGTTCGGAGGGGCTGACTTCTCCTACATCTCCCTTCTTGGCGTAAGTGTTCATATGTGAGAAAGTTGCTTGTAAATTCTCCTGCTTTTTGAGCGTTTCTGCTCAGAAAAAAAAGAAGTTTCTGAATTTATATTTATGGTTTTACATCTTAATTGCTTACTAATTATTATTCCTTAGTTTGCTACAAGCCACCAATGCAAAGACCTGCCGTGAGTTTTAAATGTGTCCAGTTGACTTTGTTAATAGCACAATGATCCTCTGCTCTATAAAGGAGAGATTTGTCACCTGGGGCTACAGGAAACAAGAGTAAACATCAATGTAGGATGATAAAAAGTTGTGTTCCTGCTTTTATTTTGTGTTTGTGTGTGAAATCAGCTTGCTGACATGAGCTTGTAAACTAAACCGTACGGGTAGAGACGAGGCGTGCTGCTGGCTTTGAGGAAGGCATGTGCTCCCTTTCTCCAAGTATTTCTTTTTTAAATTTTTTTTAATCACATCACTGTTGCCCTTACAACTGTGTTTTAAAGGAAAATTCCCATCCATAGAATTAAAATTAATGGAATTGGTAATGAGCTTCAAATGCAAAATAAAGCAGAAAGGTGGTGTTCTTGGCAGCATGTGAGATGCTGTCTACCAAACACTTGGAATAAAAAAAAATACAGCCCTTGAAAGGACCTGGTTTAACAGCTCCGTGCTTCTCCTGAGACACGTGCAGCTCCGTGCTGCGGCAGCCTCGTGGGCCACGTGTGCGTAGGGGCTGCTCTGGGTTCCTCCAGTGGACCAGGCTCCGTATTTACGCTTCTGGCACCAATGATGGGGGAAAATGAGAGCAAATCATGGGACTCTTGTAATCAGTGTCTCTTCTGTTGTACTGTGGTGGGTGGTGTGACCCAAAGTCAGGACAAGTGACCAGGGCAGCGAGAGGAGTTGTCCCACACCCCCCGGGCAAGGTCCTGTCCAACTCCCTGGCTGAGCCAACCTGGCTTTTGTCATCACAGGCAAGTTGATGTATTAAATTCTGGAGGGTGCAGCATCTCAGTATTTCATTTATTTCTTAGACCCGATGGGGTGCTGAAGCTTCCATTGCCATCCTGTAATTGCTTTAGCTGGATGTAGGACTTGCTGGACCAGGTAAGACTTCTGGTGTGGTCCTGGCTCCTCTCTCATGGTAGCACCTGGTATTGGACATTTCAGAGCAAGGCGCATAAAAATCCCTCCCATCTGTTTGGATGCTTTTAATTATCATGTGTCCCACAGTAACTGCTCGCCCTGTTTGTCACCCTCTGCCTGAAGCCACTCTCTTCCCTCCTACCTTCGTGCAGCCCTCTGTGTGAATGTGGCAGTGTCCGCCCCATGGTGACACCAGCAGCCAGCTCAGTGACAGCCAGGGGCTGCTGCCCTGTTCCTGCCCTTCATTTGCCAGCACAAAACTGCAGCGTTTCTTCTTGTCCCTGTGAAGACTGATGCCACCAACACATCTCTGCAGCCAGGAGCAGCAGATACCCAGGTCCTGCCAGCTCGGGCAGTCTTTGACCATCTTGGGGACCCTGACAACCACAGATTGTGTGTGTGTGGAAGCTGGTGGGCATGTTTGCTGTAGAAAACCCAAACCTGGATAAATCAATCTCCCACTGTTGGAAGAAAATAACTTGCACCTTCTTCTTTTTTTTAATGCTGATGGTTTTATTTTTCCATGTAAGCTAGACTGAGTATCTAAGATAACTGCAGAGTGTTGCTGCCTTAAGTCTTTGCCTGATGTGATGGCCAGTGGGCCCCCCTGCCTGCAGCGGTCCATAAGCCAACACTGCAGTGCCTGGCAGGAGGGTGGCCTGTCCTCTGCTGCTTCTCTTCCTTGGGATGCCATCTAGAGCTGGTAGTAATTTAAAAATAAATTTAAAAATGCTTAGAAGAGGGTGAAAGTTGATGCAGGAACATTGCAATCCCCCTCCTGGCTGGTGGGATCTGTGTTGACCTGAGCTGTTCTCAGAGGGACTTGCAGCCAGGAGACAATCCTGAGAGGACAGGTGGCTGCTGGGTCAGCATTGTCCCTCCTGCCTGTGTCCCTTGGGGGTTTGTTGTCCCCATCCCAAATGGTTATGCTGTGATTCACAGCATTTTCTTTCCAGTGGCTGTGATTGAATGGTTATGGGGTAGCTGGCTAGAGACTGTGCAATGCT